TCGTATTTAGACAAATAAGTGGAAATGACCTAGATGCATCAATTTCCTGAAGAGCCACGCAGCGCAAGCTGGATGCTGTCTGCAGAGACTGCAGGTTCCTGTCCTGCTCCTCGTGCTTGCTGGCCCGCGCTGTGCCTGGGGCATCTCCCACTCCGCCCCGAGGTCCGGGCTAATCCTACCTGCTCCCATGGCATTTTCTCCTCCATCTGTCCCCTTCCTCTTAAGAAGCATCCAAGTGCCGAGCTGGCGAGGACCCCAGGAGATCAGCTATTCCCTTTGCAGGATTAAGTATGCTCACATCATCTCTGACGGATGTTTGTCTAACCTTATTTTTGAAAATCTCCAAGGAATGCTGTCCCAAGACTTCCCTATTTTGTCTGTTCTAGTGTTTAACTACTCTTATAGCTAGAAAGATTTTTTCTTTTTTTTTCCCAAGTATCTAATCCTGTTCTCCCTTGTGGTAAATTAAGCCAAGCCACAATCAAATGGAGAATAATTGATCACCAGCCTCCTTAGGAGAGAAGCAGCTTTCACACATTGGAATACCAATAGCACATTCCCTTTTATTTATGTCCTTTCTAGATTAAACAACTCCCTTTCTTTGGCCTTTCCCCACTGCTCAGGTTTTGAGAGTCTTTTTTTTGGTCTTCTTATATTTTCATGCACTTACCCAATTTAACTACAAAAAATAGTTTTGTGTGATATTCAAAACTGGACAGTGTAAACCAGCTACTTGTCCTGGCTTAACTGGGGAGAGGCTAATATGTAATATTACACTAATATAGCCAGCATATAAACAAGGGTAGATGCTCTAGCTTAATAATTTCTTCCTAACTCTCTTGTATGCTGTCCCTGGGATTATCAGGAGTCCTGGCAGCAGCCTGTCCCCACTGCCATTTCTGCCCTCCCCTAAGCCTGAGCTCCTTTCGACAGTGTGGCTCCTTACACAGCTGATAAATCTCCTTTTTATGTGTGTGTGTGTTATTTGCTTTGTCCTTCCGACGTGTAGCACTTACACCAGTCCGTTTAAACAATCCATTTTCACTCTCAGCCACACATCTGCTTTCCTGTACCTCGTGTGTGCTGGTTTGGCTCAGCCTACGTGCTCGAAGGAAGGAAGGATGGTCCTGTGCCTGACGCCGCCGGTGTGCACAGCACCACGGTTCACTTCTCGGCGCTGCTGCGGGCTTTCCGGCCCCATCTCGCAGGAATCACACAAAGCAGCGTTGCTTTCATGGCCTGCCTGTTCCCTGAATTTTTATCCTCCTGTCCACATGCATAAAAAAAGCTCCTTAAAGCAGGGGTTTGGCCTCATTTGCTGTACATCTCTCATGTAGCCCAGATGAATTCCTAAATTGTGTTGAGATGAGTCACAGTGTAAGCCAAGTGTATTTACCCAAGCTTCACTAAGGAGTTAAGTAATATATGTTATTCTTTATGAGCTGTAGGAACACACGTGATAAAATATCCACAGATCAAATAATTATTATGTTTCATAGATTCATAGATTTCTAGGTTGGAAAAGACCTTAGAGATCATCGAGTCCAACCATCCCTAATCCCCATTAAACCATATCCCTAAGTAGTTCATCCACCCTATTCTTAAACACATCCAGGGATGGGGACTCGACCACCTCCCTGGGCAGCCTATTCCAGTGGCTGACAACCCTTTCAGAGAAGAAATACTTCCTAACATCTATGAGTTAGATACTTCCTAATACTTCCCATACTATGAGTGTTAAAATTTAGTTAATTAGGAAATAATATCCCTTTATTGAGTGCTGGCAAGAAGAGAGGAAGAAAGGAGAAGTGGTAGTAGGGAATGCCTAACCTATTAAAATGGCATCATCCAGTTACCGTTATTAATCTGCTGTATGGACAGAGCTTTCTTGAGACCAGGTGTGCACAAAGTGTGTCCCACGTGCAGACACGTGCTGTTCACTGAGATGTTTATGTGCTTTACCACTCTGCGAAAAATAAAGGGGCTCTTAAAAACTTGGGGTATCTTTTGTGGAAGTACGAAGGAAAAGCACTGCTGACACAGGGTCCTGCACTTGGAAAACGCCAGGCATGGACTTGCTCTGAGCTCTTTACCTTTTCTGTACCTCCTTGAATGGTTTTGTCTTCTCCATGTCAGCACCTTTCTCTCCTCTGGGCCTCTCCCCACTCCAGGAGCTGTTTCTCCACCAGAAGGTTCCAATGGAGGCTGAGAGCTCTGGGGAGGGCGATGGGAGAAAAGATGATTCATTTCTTCGAGGTTTGTTATGGAAGTTTCTTCTCCAAATGAAAGGAAAAGTGGCAGGCAGGAGCTGTGCCCTTGCTGACTTCCCCTTGTTCGCCGTGTGCTTACTCCATACATCCAAGGACAGAACCATGGTGTTTCTTCTTCGGGTGGTTTCTGCAGGCAGCCTCGATAGCTGAGCTTGCTCTTTCCTGCTATTGCATTCTCATCAGCAATACTACGCTGTGGGGCCGTTTTATTTCCAAAAGCACTTGTATGATTCCTTTATCTCCTCGTTGCTCCTTCAGTAACTCCTAGGCAACACCGTTATCTTCCCATCCAACACTCAGCAACACCTGCCGAGCACGGGAGCCCCTGCAAGGCACCGCGGACGCCTCGCGGGAGGCAGCGCTTGTTCCTGCCGCAGCCTCGGAGGGGAAACGTGTGGAGCAGTTCAGTCAGACACATCCCAACCCCTCGTGGTGTCCCCTGGAAGTATAATGACAGCACAAAGCTGTTACAAACATTCACTTAGCATTAGCGATTAAAAATAGCTCGTGATGTTTTCTGAAACAAAATAGGAGAGATAAGAGAGGAAAAGATGTACTTAGTATGTGTAAGAAAGCAAGCTAATGTGCAGAGCCTTGTATTTCCAGAGCCAGGTGAGAAGGAGGATTGTGATTATTTATTCTTGTAATACCTTTTATGAACAAATCTCTACATAATCATGAATATTGCATCGAAAAGTACGTTTGATCCTCTTCACCCATCTCGCTCACAAGGACGGTCTGCTCTGTGTTGTGTTTTGGAGGTTTCAGCAGCAGTGAGTCAGTTCTCTCTGGGAAGAAGAATAGTTGCTGGTACAGATAATTTAAGGAGTGCATTTTTTTTTCCTTTGAGATTTGTTATCAATTTTGTTTTGAGAATGCGGTGAAGATAAATGCTATTTCTAAGAACGAGTCCAAGACTCAGATTTAAACACAGTGCACAGTATTGATTTAATTGAACGTGTTTAGTGTGATGCTTACAGCCTTTTCTTTGCACTTCACTGGACACCAAGGGAGAGGAAAGAAGCAATTTTCCAAGTTAGGACAAAACAGAAAAGATCTTCTATTTCATATTCAGCATGAAATATCCAGGTTTTAAAGACTACGAGCTTCTGGACGGTGCCCTGTCTCATGATTGTTAAAACTGTCTGGCACATCCATGAGCAAGTTTGCTGAAAAATTATGATGTGCAATTTATTTTCCGAGATTAATGTTTTGTTTAAAATAATAACCTACTGCTCATCTTTAAAAAACCACACCACTAAGTCTTATTTCAGTGAATAAATGCTGTACATTGATTTTATTTTTCCTTTTGAATGAATCTTTTAATGTAGCATTTAGAGCACTCTCAAAAATCAAAAAGTATTTAAGGTAATGCAATACACCTAAACGTTGGGTTTTGAGAGTGGATAGAGGAAGGAAATCTTGATTATGTGTCGCTAGATTTGTCTTTGTAAGTATGTTTGCCTTGTAACTTGAATCACCTTACGTGGTCAGGACTATATTATATTAATTAATATTCTTAATTAATTAATTAAGAATTTATTAATTCTGTTTTCTGATGATCATTTGTTATTATCTGTTCCTGTAAAGACATAGAGATGCTCCTCTTACACCAGTATACAACAGGACCAGTTCTAGTAAAGGCAGTCCAAAATTTGATGGGCAAAGCCAAAATAAGTATGAAGAGGGTAAGGAGGAAGACAGGAAATTATCTGTTTTTTACTACAGTTTATCAGCATCCACAATCTCACATCTCTAATGGAGCAGTTGACACAACAGATCTCACACCACTTTTTTTTAGTGCCACCTCCACCTGCCGTGAACACGCACCCTCTGTGGTTTGGCAGGGGGCATCGCAGTAGGCGACACCGCGCCGCGGCACGGCTGCTGGCGGCACGGGGCGGGGGTTGTGCTGGGCATGTCAAGCAGCCACGGAGCTGTGGGTGTTCTCAGATGAATGATGAAAAATTAATAATGAAGACTGGTTTACTTTTCCCTTCTCAATGCAGAGAAATGAGCTGTTGCTGAAAAACAAGGGGCAGGAGTAATCAACTTAGAAAGGAGATAAGGACAAACGAGTTGGGTTGTGAAGGTTGTAAACATTAAGGAGGGAAAAAGAAAATATTTAAGCTGGATCAAGAGGTTAAAACCAGGGTGCAGTGGGACAGAAATAGGTCAGGAGTTCTTTGAACTGAGGATCAGGGTGATTTTCTTACCAATGAGTTGTGTGTGAATGGGAAATGGGATCCAAGGAGAAGGGGCAGAGACACATCTTCCCGACTCCGAGAACGTGTTTGGAAAACAGAGACCTGCACTACCCAACCTGCGCTGCCAAACGTGCCCGAGCTGATTTCTCAAGATTGGCACAGCCTCTTTTGCAGCACAGGAATCCCATCGGGCCAGTGGCCTGTATTTTCCATTTTCTCGTCCTATGGAACTGAAATTCCCATCATGGAAAATGATGGAAATATGTTACCTTCTCAAAGGCATTTCTTCATGCCTACAAGCAAAATTTTGCAGCATGAGGACTTAGTTTTGTTCTTTTATGCCTATCATTTACTCTGTTTGTTTAGCCAGCAACAAATGTGTTCACAGCAGATGAGGCTTGAAGAATCTCACCAGGTTTCACCATTACTTCTTTCTTTTCTTCAGCCCTCCCATGAATTCCCTGCTGAGTTCAAGCTCTGTAAGTATCTTACGATCAACCCATCTCTCCTTTTTTCTCTGTAGGATCTGATACGAAGAGATATTCTGTATTACAAAGGTCGCATAGACATGGATAAATATGAAGTGGTGGATATAGAAGATGGGAGAGATGATGACTTCAATGTCAGCATGAAGAATGCCTTCAAACTTCATAACAAGGAGACTGAGGAAATGCACTTATTCTTTGCCAAGAAACTGGAGGAGAAGTTACGATGGCTTAGAGCTTTCAGAGAAGAAAGGAAGATGGTAAAAGAAGATGAAAAGATAGGTGAGGAATATGAAATGAACCTGAAAGGAGGTCGTTGGTAATGCTTAATTTAGCCCCAACTGTTGGAGAAGCCCACATTTGTTTTTGTAGTAGAATTACAGTTCAACCTTGTTCAAAGGTCCTTGGTTGCTCTCATAGGCAGAAATAGGTCTCTTTCCAACTCAGTTACTGGTATTTTTGGCCCTCAATGAAAAAATTCTGCCCGTAGCTTCAAGCCTGGACCTCTGCAGGTATTGTGGGAGAAAGAATTCTTCGGCCATCTGACTTCATAGTCTCCTGGCCGCATCATTTCTGCTCTGATTCAGCATTTCTCATGCAGGGTAGGAGTTACCAGCCGTGCCCTTCCCTCAGCATCAGCCCATAAATCGACTGTAACCAGTGTCAGTTCAGGCTCAGTTTGTGTTGCCCAGCTGTAAAGCACTGGGCATATTTATGATACTGTATAAATAATAATGGGTCTAATCTTACTTTTCACGCAGCCCCTGCACAAGGGAGATTGTAGAGAGGCCAGCCCTTTCGAGGAGGATTTGCTTTTCAGTAAAACACCTGCCCGTACAGCCAGCTCACGGGGCGATGCTTTGCCACCCAGGGCACCCGTGTTGCCAAGCAGTGCAGAACATTCCCCCTTCCCCAAATGACAAAGAGGCTTTGTAAGCAACCTTCTGAATTGTGTTTGCCGTGTTCCCTTTTCCAGGCTTTGAAATTTCTGAAAATCAAAAGCGGCAAGCGGCAATGACAGTAAAGAAAGTCAGTAAGCAAAAAGGTAACCGGCAACACGCACTGTGCCTGGTGATGTGAGGGTGGAGCGGGCTGGGCTGAATCCTGTTGGGTTAGGATCCAGCGTCCCCCTTGAACTTCCCCCTCCCCTTTCTCTTTTTTTATAAAATACCGTTTGTGCTTTGTATCCTTTCTTAATGTATCTGTGGGCCAAATTAATCTCTGGTCTAATGCGGCTGAAGCCAGTGGAATTTCACCAGAGATGAATTTGATCTCGTTGTCTCCAGTCTGATGTCCAGAAGCTGTCCCTGGGGGCAGAAATCTATCTCAGTTGTTTATCTCAGGCTGAAACGGGAGTGAGTGCGGAGATGTGTAGGGGTTCTGCTAATTCCCAAAGTCTCCCATTAGCAAGGAAAGAAAAATGGCTAAAATACTGGAGATGCTGAGGGATCTACCCCCTTCCTGCTTTTGGAAAGGGGACACTTATGTTTCTGGGGGCTACCTATAACTTCTAAAGGACAGCACAGTAGTGTCAGCTCTAGGAAATAAAGTACTTTAGTAAAGACATTATATCTCTCCAATGTCAGGTTCATTTCCCCACCCAGGCAGGCTGCAGCCCACTGATAAATGCCACGCTAGACACTGAACACAGTCTCAACCGGCGAGGCAGCCAGCATTAACTCTCTCTCGCAATAACTCTTGCAGCTACAGGTTTTGAAATACTAAATACGGAGGGAAAGTCAGTGAGGTCGTTTTTCACGTTTCCCAAAGCTTCACAAAGTCGTAGACGTATCGATCCGTTGCCAAAGTACCATGGCACAACGAGGCCCGTAACTGGGCTTTGAGAGAACTCGTCACTTCTTGGCTGTCATCAGTTCCAGGCAGATCCGTCCTCGCTCCGTACAGGCATTGGGTTGGGTTTTGCAAAAGTTGAAGGAGCTCTTTGCTTTCTGCCTCACCTGTTTGTTGTCTACTGGCTTTGCTGGTCCAGTAGTGGTTTGCTAGGCCAGCCGTAAACTCTTTGGTTCGCTGTGTCTCTCCATTGTCATTAGTCTTCTCCGCTCTTCTAACTTCCTATGTTGTCTTCTAAGATGTTCTCTAAAAACTCTCCTGGCCAGATTTTCTAAGCTCAGAGTATGCACACACCCAGAAATGGGTGCACGTAGTCGAGGCAGTGGCGACGCCGTCACGAGCGCGGTTTGGCAGAGTCACCCCTCCCCACTGGCATGCTCGTCCCTCAGCACGGAAGCAACCACGGAGATGCTGGCAACTGGAAAATTAAGAGAATCTGACTTGCATGATGGCCATGACAAAACCAGTTTCAATTATTATTTGCTGTTCAGTTAATTATAGTGTTAATTAATTAAGGCATTAATTAATTAATAGTTGTACTGTTCAGTCATTAAGTGACACAGTTCAAAGGTGCCTGGGCATGTCTACCAGTATTCCCACTTAAATCACTGGACTCACATCCTGACAAACACGATACGCCTGACCGTACTTACTTCTCACGCAGCAATTGCTCTCTTGTTTTCTCTCTTTCTCTTTCTCTCTCTTTCTCTCTGAGATGAAAAAGGAGGGGGCTTCTCTCATTATAAAATTAATTAGCTCCTAAACCACCGGTCAGCATTTCCTTATGAAGAACGAGCTGTTGTCACACCGGCAGTTCTTTCTGTGAGATGAAGTCCTCGAGGCAGACAGAAATTCAGTTGGAGCCCGAGCAGCAGGTTAGGCGAAGCCTGGTTGATACCTGAGACACGAGATCTGAAAATCAACAAATAGGGTCATGAAATTAGTAGCTCTGCTTCTTTTGGTCCTACGTTGTGGTAATCATAGCCCAGTCTCTGATTAATTAAATTAAGTACTAGCACCGAACGCTTTGCCGAAAACTCTTCAGTTTTCTCACTCTGTGGTTTGTCTTGTGCCCAAGACCCAACGAGAGGCACGAAGCTGCTGGAGCAGGGAGCTGGTGGCATTGTGCAGAAGAGGGAGGTAGGAGGGAATTCCTGAGAGCTGGCTGGCAGTGACTGATTTTTTGAACCTTTCCATATGCATTTTACATACATTGCCCACATTTTTTTTGCCAACCTTGGGGCTGTGTTGCTGAGGTGCAGCCCTTGGGCTGGGTGCAGGCAGATGGGTGAGCGCCCGTGCCGGGAGGCTGCTGCCCGCGGGCACCGCGCGCTGCCTTTGCCCTGCCCGCAGCCTCCTGCAGCACACCAGCAGCGTTGGAAGGGGCTTTAAGTTAGTTTTGGAGCATCAGTTATACCTGGAAAGCAGTGAAACCCTTTAGGAGTAGGAATCCTTCCACTGCATTCAACTGAACTATTTATTCATGTAAATTTAGGACTTGGCAGGACAGGTCTCAGTGGTGCAGCAGAGCTCGACAGCTCAGCAGCTTGGCCGGACGTGCCGAGAGCCCCGCTCCGTGCCAGGGGATGCCCATTACAGACTTGTTTCTGGATTATCTCAGTTGTTCCCTCCACCTCTTAAATGGGAGACGGTGGTAATTTCCCTGTCACAGAACACTTAAGGAAGAGAGAAAAGCCGTGAAGGAGGTGAAATGGAAAATGCAATCAACTTTGTTAGAGGTGAAGCAGAAAAACATTTTTCAAATAGTATAAACTGCCATTTATTTCATGCACTGTTGTACCACACCTCCCAGAAGTATTGCTCTGGAGCTGGCTGGCATGAAGGAAGCATCTGAACTACTGCTTGCTCGCTGCAGCAGGCGAGGGAGAGATGCTGAGAGCAGGAGGAGAAACAGTAAAACTCTGCTTTTTAAACTAATGGAAACTTTATCCAGGAGATGAGGGGAGAACGCAACTCCCAGTGTTTTGAGAAGTGTTTGATCCCAAAATCTGTGGGGCACAAGTCGGCCCCTCTGGAGGCAGCCTCCTCCTGACGCTGGCACGCTGGCACACACGCGGTGCCAGGCTTCCTTCCAGAGCGACGTCATGATGCGCGCGGTCAGATTTCAGCAATATACTCGGATTTGCACTACTTATTGGATTGGGCAAAACGTAATGATATGAGACCAGGTGCCTTAAGACAGCGTTAAACCAATTTTTGGCCATCTTTCAGTCCATTAGACATAAAGGAAATGGGTAGTGTTGGCTCTGCACCTTACCAGCAGATACAGAAAAGGGCCGTTTGTTGTTGTTTTTTTTCTTCTTGCATTGATTGTTCAATATTTTGCCTCTTGGTTACTGCCCTTTAGCTTCTGTCAGCGTCAGTGTGGTAACAGGGAATAGAATTCAGTGTGGTGTCTCCTAGAAATGGTAAAGTAACAGGGAAATTTATTTGCCTTGACTTACAAAAACAACAAAAAACCCCACAGCCCTTTTTAAGCTACAGCTGAGCAAGTGGGCAGCTTTGCTGCAGATAAGTCCAGGTGCCACCGAGGACCTGCGCGACGTTACGATAGCATCGAGTTGCACTTCCAGATTTGTGCTCGTTACTGGCTTGAGCAGCAGAAACTCTAAAGTTCCCCTGAAAATGGATCCCTTGTGGATCTCCAGTCCATCCTTAATGCAGGCACGGGATTATCCAGGGTACTTTTTCCATTTCTAAGTGTCTGAAAACAGAAGGCTCCTTTAGTGCCTCTGTCCACCAATGGCCTCTGTTCTGCTGGCCGCTTTTCATCTCCCCTCCAACCATCAGCGTTTGCAGCTTTCAGAAACATTCAGTGACTTTGCTGATCCTCAGCTCTGTCCACGTCTGTCCCCGTGCAGGATGGCGTGAACGTGTAAGGGATTTTTGCTCATGGTCCTAGAAGCTGTCAGCCAGGGGTGTCAGGGAATTAGAATTTAGAGATTCTTAAAGCACTGTTTCCCACTGATGTTTCCATTTTGGCAAACAAAGTGTCAGTTCTAATTTAAAGAAGTGGCCTTAGCCCTAGGTGCGAGGGTTTCCCACTCCAGGAAAGCTCTTTAGACCCAGCTATGAGCCAGCTTCTTCATGCCCTTCTCCCTGTCCTGTGTATTCTCCTCTGCACTGCGCCACAGCTTCACCAAAGCAGATGCCCTCAGCCCAGAGAAGCCTTTAGCCTGGTGGTCTGGGGCTTGGGGAAGGAGGAAAACATGTATTCAATCACCACCACCCCTAGCCCTGAGCTTAGAAGGATGCCCTCCTTAAAGCTGCCCATAAATACTCAGCTATGCAAACCCAGCAGGGGTTAAATCACCAGCCAGCATGAACTGCTTTGGCCTGCAGTAAAACACCCTCTGAGTCACTGAATTTTCCTGCTAATTTCTTCCTTTCTGATCACTTGAGCGCACGGCCAACTATGTCATAAAAACCCTGACCCAAATGCCCAACAGCTTTTCTCTGACTCCTCACGCTTCTGCCCATCGGGCGCTCCCCCACCAAGCCCGCCACGCAGGAGGAGGTGGCTGCACCTTCACACACTCCTGCTGGCATCATCCAGCTGCCAAGGATGGTCTCAGCAGGTACCAGAGTCTGTAGGTCCCTCCCGTGGTTCTCCGAGTGTTTAAGCCGATTTTATTGCATCTCCGTTGCTTACAAGATTGACGTGGCCCCGACATGTTTCCTCATCCTGTTGGCACATGTAGGCATAGCCTCGGGGGGTTGACAGGGGCTGAGCAACACATGGAGTAACCACTTTAAAACATAGAGGGGCACTTGCATTTTCAGAGAATCAGCGCCACTTCCCTGTTTTCACAGAGCTTCTCACAGTGGAGGTGAGAGAACGGAGCTAATCATGTTCTCCGTGGTATTTCCCCACAGATTCGGAGAAATCACAGAATTTATCCCATTGCCTCCCAAACGCAGGCGTTCCGCAGTGCCCGCCACGGGCTCCGCAGCACTGGTCCCACTGAGGGCAGTATAGACAGACAGCGTCTCACTCCAGGCATCAGTAACCCAGCTGGGGTCAGTAGCATCATCTGAGGTCCCGTCAGATGTACGAGCTAAGGCAAATCATCAATAAATTCTTGGCTGGGAGATGTCAAAGGAAGGTGCCGGTGACTCAGCAGTGGGCACAGGCTTCGGAGCAAATTCTCCAGGGGAGTTTTTTGGTGAGAT